GGGAGCGGCGAGCGACGACAGCGTGAACGGTGAGCAGGGTTAGGGTTGGGGAAATTGCGCTGATATCGGTGCTTTAGTTGGTTCGATTGAACCAACTAAAGCACTGGAGACCGAACCAGACCTAAACTGCTGATTCGATCGCCTGGTTTGACCCAGGTGCTCGCCCGAAGCGCCCGGCTCCTGGGCTCGGGCGAGCGCCTAGGCGACACCTCTTTGAAGCGCGTCGCTTGGAAATGAAACGAGGCGCTCGGGCCTCGCCTCGCCTCGCCCGAGCACCTAGGCGAGCGCCCGAGCACCTTTTTAAATCACTAAAAAGGAGGGTGACGAGGGCTCTCGGAACTTGAGTAGATGAACTCCCTAGCATCCTGTGGGCACTATGAACAACTCCCGGACCACTTCGGGGGAATCCCCGTTTAGTTTGGCATTCGAAACCGAAGCAGTCCTCCCACTCGAGATGGTATTCCCAACTTGGCACACCGACGCTTTCGACGAGAATAACTCCGAGGAAGGCCTAAGGGTTAATCTTGACCTCCTCGAATAAAGAAGGGTCGAGGCGCACGTACGCTCTCTGGCGTACAAAAAGGCCACGGCTCGACTCTACAACTGCAGAGTCCGCCCGCGGCCAATCAAAGCCAGGGACCTCGTCCTTCGAAAGACCGAAGTAAGCGATCCGACTCGAGCAAGAGGGAAGCTTGCCCCAAATTGGGAAGGCCCCTACCGAGTCAACGATGTGGTCCGAGAAGGGACTTACCGCCTCGAGACCATGGGGGGGAGCTCCCTACCGAGGACTTGGAACACATCAAATCCGAAAAAGTTTTACCCCTAGAAAGGTCGAGTTGGGATTCGAAGAAAGACAATTTTCATTAATAAAAAAAGGTGTGCATACTACGATTGGGGCATTACCGCCCAAAACTTGACCCGACCAAAACAAAAGAAAAATTACACCCCTTAGTTCCGGGGAGCCTCCGGGCTATCATCAAAGGAGACCTCTACCGGCATCTTGACGCCTTGATCCTCCGGTAGATCGGTGAAGAGGTTCGACTCCAGCTCCAGGTCCGGGTATCTCGCGCGAAAATGAGCAAAGGCAACCCGATATCCGAACTCGTACGTCACTTTCCCCGACCTCTACAAACTGAGTTCAAACCCGGGAGACTTCTTGTATTCAACAATCGCCTCTTTGATCTTCTCGGGCACCCCCAGGCGCTCCTCCTTCAAAGCCTCCTCAACGGTCTAGGAAGCAGTCCTAGCGGCCTCGACATCCCGAGAAAGAGTCAACAACTCGTCATCCAGCGTCCAAACGAGGACCCGACTCTCCTTCAGCTCGGCCTTCAGACGGCTCACCTCGGCCTCCAACTCCGAGGCACGTCGTTCGACCGCGACCACGGCTTCCGGACCAGGCCCGCTCTTCAGCTCCTCAACCTCTTGACGGAGGCTAGAGTTGGCTTCTCCCAAGCGCTCGATCACCGAACGGCGTCGTAGACACGGTCGATCAGCGCCATGGTATAATGCTGACCCTGCGTAAAGATTAGCGTCAGAACCCATAGGCGGATAGAAAAAAATGGAAGAGGAACGCCTATACTTACCTAGACGAGAGATTTGGCCACCCGATCCATCAGCACTACGGAAGGAGAGCCGTAGAGCTTATTCCAACATCGGATGAAGCATCCCTCGGGAGAACTCCTAAGCTGCCGACCTGTCGGACTAGATCCGACTCTTGGTCTGGAGGGTCGGCCACCGTGAGGCATAGGGAGCTCCCGCCTCCACCTCTGGAAGGTCAGCCATGCTTAAGGCCTGGAACGGCTCGCCCTCGGAACGAGGTCGGATGCAACACAAGTCCCGCATCGACTTCAGGCGGTTTGATACTTTCCCCAAAGGGTCATCCCTAGATGATCCAACACCCCCTTTCCCTCTCGTCGAGCCCTCGCTTGGAGGGGCAAACCCTGCCTTAGGAATCCCCGGGGCCGCCCTCTCGCGGGCTGCCAAGCCCTCAGACATCTTCCGAGTTCCTGTCTTCGCCCTTTTCTTCTGTGGACTCGCTCCCGGCGACCCCGACTTCTTCTTGGGTGCCCCTCTTCGAAGCATCCTTGGTGCAAGAACTCTCCAACTCCCGAGACTGTTGCGTGGCGACCTTGGAACGAGGTATCCCTTTCAGCGCCTGAAGGTTCACCATCTCTGCAAACAAAGAGTCGATTAGTCAGCCGCACCAGGAGCAAAGTAAACGTTCCAAAACGTAAAGGCGACCGTACCCCTAGGGGCTGGGCTTAGTCCCGCTTCAACCAGCCACTCCTTGGTCATTCTCCTAATTACCCGAGAAGAAGACAAAATCTCCCTTAAACGATCCACATTCTCGGTCTCTCCATCAGAAAGAAACAGGGGAACATTGTTGATGGTTCGAGAAGTCCATCCAACGTTAAATCCCCACCCCCAACTACAACTCACAAAAAAATAGCGAGTTTTCCACCCTTTGTTATTGGATGGCGCATCGCTGATCTTGAACCCATCGCGGGCGGTCTGGTAGCACCCTCCTCGCCCCTTGCATAGGTGAAAGGAGGCCAGGAAGAGCGTCCGGGTCGGCTTGATTCCTGCCCCACGACACTCCCCGAGGAAAGCCACTATGTAGCGCCAAGAGTTAGGTGCCACTTGGGACGGCGAAATCCCCCACCCGCAAAGGCACTCCTTGATGACGGGATTCAGAGGAAACCGTAGCCCCGCCTCAAGGGCATCTGTGGTTAGCCCGAACCCATCGGGAAACGAGTTGTAAGGACGCTGACCAAAAGATGGAGCATGGAGCCCATAGCTCCTCGGGATATAGTAACGATCCCGAATCGAACCTAAGAGTTCCTCGGTCACCACCGAGTCTATGTCATGCCACAACCTCATTGTTTCGAGGGCGGTAGAGGCCTTTGTGTCCTCTGGGACGTCACCCGAGGACGAACTAATTACTTCTATCCTAGCGCTCCCGGAGGTCAACTCATGGACCTCGGGAACCGACCGACCCAAGGAAGAAGAGGAGGAAGACGAAGACATCCCAATCTCGAGGTTAGGAGGAGAGATATGAAGCGTGGAACAGGAGACTGGACAGTGTTACAGCGACCGCTTCAGAAGAGACTTATAAAGGAAGGACTCCTCCTTGAGGCGACGTTTGGGCTCCCCGAGGGAAGAGATGATCGCAGCATTTAAACCCGCCATAACTCCCCGGATCTCCCCAGATTCGCTAGCTTCGAGCTCCCGCCAAAGTCCGTTCGCGATAGGAAATTTCCCGCCAGAACCTGCGTGAACCCCAGAGTTGCTTCGCTTGTTATGGCACGTGCGTTGCGGCACGCACGTGCGCTGTGGCACGTGGGTTTCGGTTCGCCGAGCAGCAACTCGCCAAATCAGTACAACCTGCGCCCGAGTTCAGTCGCTCGGCCAACAGGTCCAGTCTTTGCCCGAGTCGCGCAGCTCGATCTGCTAAGCAACAACTCGTCAAATTAGTCCAACCTGCGCCCGAGTTCAGTCGCTCAGCCAACAGGTCCAGCCTTGGCCCCAATCGCGTAGCACCATCCACCGAGCAGCCTTTTAGCAAGACAGTTCAACCTCCGCCCGAGTCGAACAACTCCGCCAGCGTTTCCACTAGCCAGGCATGCCCCTAGCCCGTAAGGGAGGGGGGGAGGGGTGAGGAGAAGTGATAAGGCATATTTTGGACCTCGGCCACTTCATTAGCGAACACGGGCTCTCGAGGCACGCACCAGGCGCCACGTCACACCCCTGCAGATTCAGCACAGGGGGTCGCCTCCCTCCCACATCCCGCCGAAGCCCGTACAAGAAGGCGTTCACTTGGCAAGTCCCGTCCCGGAAAGCTCGGGACGGCGCCGCATGGCGCCATTCCACACATACCGGGCGACGGCCGCATGAAGGTACGAACTCGCCACTCGGGCGGGGTCGACCGATACGCCAAATCCGCGTACGACCGATCCTCGAACAACAACATAAAAGCTCCCAACCGGCATATGGCCAAGGGGAGAAAGAAAAAGGAGAACAAAACCACTGACTTATTCTACGAGGGGCCCAAGTCGGGAATCTCTCGACCCGGGTCTGTGTGCAGGAACTCGGCAACCCCCCAAGCCGGCTCAACCCCGCACTCGAGATGTGGCCATCCTGATCTCTGATCCAGCTCGATCTCAGCATTTCCACCAACGAATCGAGAGATGCGCTCCCGAGCGTTGGGAACTCCGGACGTCGACGCGTGGACCAAGCCGTGTTGACTCCTCAGCCACGGCACGTGAGTTCACCAATAAACTACGTCTTCTAAAATCATTGATCTCAAATTAACTCTACATTACCAATGTGTTTATTGACTTTGTCGGATATGTCCATAAAGGATTTTAACTTTTCGTGAATCATTCTTATTCTATAATATTGAATAGTATGAAACATCCATCTCGTCATTCTCATTTTGATTGCACCAACTTTCTGGACAACTGGTTTTCTAAATGCGCCAAATGTTGAGAAAACGTCTGCATTAAGAAAAACACTCTAAACGCCCTTCTGAATCATACTCATCACGCATTAACTTTTGAGCAATATCTTCTTCATTCCTTTTTTAAGATTATGAAACTCCGACTTTGTCTATCCATATTTTATTTACACAAAAAAGTTACACTCTGTGCATTTGGTCTTAATCTTAATTAATCTAACACCTATTTGATAATGATGGTTATTTCCAAAAAAGTTATAATGTTTGTCTATGTGGTCTTAGTTGGAGATTTTTGCTATTATATACCATGAACCAAACCAATGGTGCTGACAAATCATATACATATATTATGAGTGTCAACCTCTAGTATCCATAGAATAGTAATGCCTCCATCATATATATCACTATAGATGACTCAAAAAAATTATCAGAATAGATTTCTTAAAACGGATACGTATTAAAGATTATAAAGAGCTGACTTGCATTTCAGAAATAAAATTCACATTGTTTGCTAGATTGACAAACATGAATGCCAAAGTCATACCTGCTAGGAAGAGCTCCATAAGCACGTGCAACACGACCCAGTAAACTGTTTGAAGTAGATGTCTGTCCAAATCGCACATATGGTGCTAACATACCCACTAAAGCTACATTAACAACTACACCTACCAAAAGATCTGCAGCATACAACTCAAATTCTGCCCAGAAATCTTTGCCCCTCTTTTGGACTTCCGCAAAAGTTGCACAGCACGAGTCAATAATTATCTGTGTCATTCAAGAAAGCAAGAACATCAAGATTATATGCATGATACCAACTAACGATGACAGAGGACAAAATTAAGCAGACCTCAGTTCCAACTTTAAAGAGGAAAGATGGGTCAGCAAGCATCCGGTTGCGGAAGATTGCACACGACTTCATTGCAACACCAATAGGCCAAGCTGATGCCTTCCATTTTGTCACAAAAAAGGTTAAATAACTTTAACATGGAAATGTTGTTGTTAGACATGAACTCACATTTGAGAAATACCTGTAAATCCAAGTATCTGTATAGGAGGAGTTTCTGTATCCCACTTGCTTTTGCAGCCTCTAACATGTCAGAAGGAAGACGTGCACCACGAGCCTCTACTTCTTTAATCACCTCCTCGTACTTCAGCAATGGCCCAAACTCTCCTTCTTTGTAGTCATCACTATTGTCGCCATCATCGCCTCCACCTCCTCCAGGTGGAAATTTCCCGTTACCACCGGATCCATTGGGGAAATCCGTACTGCCACTTCCATGATCAAGGTCTACACGATCGTCGGACTCGATGTTCCCCGAAACCTTTTTGACAGATACATCACCGCACTCTTTTAAACTACTGAGATCCAAATGCCCAGAGTTTACTTCAGCGGAAGGCTGCAACTCAGATCTGATCCCAGCGTTAAGCTTCCTCTTCCCACAGCAAAGGTTACCTTTTCCAGCTCTAAAAGCAGTGACCAAGACAGTGACTTTCGAGAATAAACAGCGCTCAGGTGTGGGTCTGAGATTAAATCTCGATCCCTTAACCTCGAAATCCACATTTCTGCTTCGGCAACTGACAAGATTGTTTCCAAGGTAGCCTTCACCGGATGAACAACACAGCGCCATCCCTCGCTTTATATGTTCTGAATCACTTCACCGAACCCACTCTTGCTCAGGAGAAACCCTAATCTGCTCCAAGGAAAAGAAAGTTATAAAATGATACAAGAATCGGCTCAAAAAATTCTAATTACAAGAAAACAGATACAGATTGGTTAAGCATAAGAGTGAGTCGGAATTTTAACGAAAAAAAGAACAGAAAAAACTAATAAGAATCGGAATGAACAATCAGGCCAATGAAATGAGAAGCCAAGCAGGGAAAGAACAGAACCGATCGGAACTATAAACAAAAATTGCTGAAGTTAAAAACAATATTAAAGATGATATGATGTTGAGTTGGGAATTTGGATTACCGAGAAGAGGGTTAGGGAAGAGAGGCGGTTAGCGGGAGGGAGGCGCGGAGCGTGAGGCGGCGAGGGAGGAAGAAGTGATTGGCCTCCAACGAAATCTTCCTCAGAGAGCCGCCTCTGGCGTGGTTCCAGTGAAAGAACTGGGGCTTCAAGCCATGGACGGTGGTGATGGAAGGAATCTAACGTGCATGATGATTACTGCGCGAAGCGTTGTTCTGTAGGAGATCGATCGAACGGCTCTCCCGGTGTTAAATATGGAGTAAATAAATTTGACAAATTTTGTTCCAGCCAAAGTTTAACTTACGATGTGTTATAATGAGACTTGACAAAACTTAATAAAGATATTAGGCTAATTATAAGCCTCATAAGGCAATTAAACTTTAAGATTAAGTGTTGGGCAGGGGCCGCGCGTGCGCGTACCCCCTCTACCACAAATTATGACGTCCACTCTCCCTCTTGGGGAGATGGTAAGCCAGTGCTCCCCCGAAGTGCAATGGAGGCCACTGACCTAGGCCACGAGCCTTCTTGTTCGCCCGTCGACCCCGTCCAGGTAAGTATGGTTCAACTGAGGCGGAGACCCCCACTTAAAGACCGCCTCTTGCTCCCCTCTGCCGAAAGTTGCCGATGTGGGACTAAGACTTCTACGCGGATAAACAATCCCACTAAAGCTTGATGCGTTGATCGCAGTCGGTACACAAGCGGGAGAATCCTGATAAGAGGCCCAAATAGCAATTGCTGAAGCCGAACTTGGGCATTTATGGCGAGCCCATGGAGACGGCTCGTCCAATTGACGCCATGAATTCTCAATCGGCGTTAGCCAAATCGATGTTACTACGCTTCCGTTTCGACTCGGACTCCGAAACCGGCCGGGGTTATCCGTGAGTGCAAGCGGCCGGAGAGAGAGACCGCTTGCGTGCTTGGAGAGACCGGTGATGGCGGTGGACATGGGGAAGCTGCGGTGGGGGGAGCTGGAGGACGACGCGGAGGACCTCGACTTCCTGCTGCCGCCGCGGGTGGTAGTCGGGCCCGACGAGAACGGGGTGAAGAAGGTGACCGAGTACCGGTTCGACGACGAGGGCAACAAGGTCCGGGTCACCACCACCACCCACGTCCGCAAGCTCACCCGTGCCCGCCTTAGCAAGCGCGCCCTCGAGCGCCGCTCCTGGCCCAAGTTTGGTGACGCCGCCCACGAGGACGCCGGCGCCCGCCTCACCATGGTCTCCACCGAGGAGATCCTCCTCGAGCGCCCCCGCGCTCCCGGTTCGACCCTTTCCCACCCTCCTCTTTTCTTCTTCTTCTTAATCGCCTTGTGACCGCTCTTTTGTTAGGGTTTTGCATGATTATTTCGATTCGATTTCATAGGTTATATTTCGGCAGATGCCATCCATAATCTCATTGGTGCCGAGTGCGATTTAGGGGGGATTAGCCTCAAACTGCGTCCTTAGCGTTTGTTTCCCATTGAATAAGACTGGATTAGAGTCGAAAAGCAAATCACAAGATCATGCTTCTAGTATCTGAATTAAAATTCATGCCTTGCATGTAGAAAGTCTTGATCTGGGAGAGAATAAACTGGAGATTTTTATATTACATTTAGATTGTCCTCCTATACCTTAGTCTGAAACTAAGAGAATGACTTCCGCTTTCTATCCTTTCTCTTAGGCTATACGTTTTTATCTATATATTTATGATTGTCATATTGTCACGGACATGTTTGATATAATACTTATGTATGTCTGTGCCTTTTGGTAAGTTCATACTTTGCACAACATGTAGACGGCCGAAGGCTTGATAGTCTCATTTTAATTGGGTTTGGTGGCCGTTTTAGGCTTGTAAATAAAAGTTGTGTCATGTGGACACTTGTGAGAGATATTCGGTCTGTAGTGGATCATTTTGACCTTTTGTTGTGCAACTGTTCAGAGCTTGTAAAATCTGTTTGTAATTTACATTGTCTATGAAGTATTTTCGAAAATGTTTGCTTGTGGATCCCCAGTGAGGCGTTTTCTCTAACCCGTTTTCTCTTTTGTGGGTCCTAAGGGACCATGTGAGGTTTCGGGGAAGTTGACCTTTGCGGACGAACACGCAAGGGTGCCGCACGACTTAAGCAAAACCAGCTAAGTTCGTGACAGATGGTATTAGAGCGGGATAAGCACTCATAGAAACACTTAGCATGCAAACGTGGGGAACCTAGCGGGGCTGCGTTGAGGGCAGTCAGCACACGCACGACCGTTTGGGTGAAAACAGGCATGGAGATGTATGGAAAAAGAGTCGCTCGGAGGAGCGAGCATCTGAGATTGGCATTCAGAGGAATGGCCAACCCTTCGCACATGAGGCACCACGAGAACAAGCAAGCTTGGAAGAATGGGGAGCGCACAAAGGTTGGGATGGCTGAGTTTAAGCTACGGCTTAACGTTGACAACTATACTTGATGGTGCTCAAGGCAAGCGAGGCGCTTGGTAAAGGATGAGACCATGCAAGGTGAAATGAGTTGCTCAGCGATCGAAAGAATTTTGCAAAGCTCACAGAGGTGAGGGGAATTGCTAACTCGAAGAATTCGGTACTCATGCATGGGCTTGTATGCGGACGATGGAATGTTCGTGGCCATCCCAAGGCGACCGAAACTCGGCGTCATGGAGCATTGAAACTTTCTCTTCGTCATGTGAAGAATACGTTCGTAGGACGCTAAAGTGTGCAGCGAGTTCAGCATGTTGCTAGGCCTTGAGTGGTGCAGTGGGGGTTGTATTGATGTGGAATCGCAATCTAGCAAGTGCGTTTGCAGGAGGCAGAACAATGTGTAGTTTGTTCAGCAAATCGGAGTAGTCCAAGGGGATGGTGGTCTCCAAAACGAAGAGAGATGTTGCTCCAACGGGATAGATATCCAGGAGGGATAAGTCCCGGCTCTCCAGAGGGAGAATCATATGCAACAGACTGCACATGTTGAGGAGGAGTACATCAACAAACAACAACTCCATGAAGTTCAATGGACCGAGCAAGCGGCGATGAGTCGTCGCATGATATCGCTTGAGAGAATGCGTTGGTGGATGCATTGTGAGATCAAGTAGGGGAGTAACCCAAAGCAACACAAATGAAGGTACACTTGGAGTCGATATAGAGATCGGACTCAAGGGAGGGCTGACCCATGGAATGGTGGGCGCGAGGGCCACCATCAACTCAATGCAAAAATGAGGAGCGAAGCAACTTGGGTGTAACTTGGCGAAGTACCCAAGCCGCATGAAGGGAGCCAGCATAGAAGTTGGAACATGGAGCGGAGGCACAGTGCTTTCCTTGGACAGAGGTCAAGGACATGAACTCTTGCAGAGGCAAGAGCAGGATCATGTTGTTCCATGGGTCCTTCATTCTGACGGAGTGGACTCATCTTGCATGGTGCCAAAGACGAAGGGAGCTTCTGGGCACATGCACCTTATCTCAGAGAAGCATTTGATGGAGGAACAAATGCGACTCAATTTGCGGAGGCGAAGTTGGGTTTAAAAGTCCTTGGCACGGGGCAAGAGGACGCGGAGGCGGGTACTCTTGAAGAATATGTCATAGTGTTGCCATGAAGGAAGCGGTGCGCAGCGGAAATTATGCTGGTAGGGGCAAAGGCCCAGGATCCAGACAATGGTGCACCATTTTCAGCGAAGTCGGTGGACTTCGGGAGCTACTAGGCGACGGACTGTCCTAGAGTGGTGCTTCATCTAGGTGTGACCCAAGAGCGGGTGGATGAAGGTCGATTGCCAAATGAGTGAACAAAATCGAAGGTGAAAGAGACCCTGCGATGTATTGGCAGGGGCCACACATAGAGGGATTACAATTCGAGTTCATCCCACAAGGATCAGAATACAATAGAGATGTCACCAGGAGGCGACATGGTGTAGCGGATCGTGGTGGAACAGTTCGTGGCAATGTGAAACACATGACATAGTCTCATGAGGGACTATATCATACGGAGGTATAATCGGGAGCTACTAGAAGCTCCACTTCGGTGAGCAATACGACGGTAAGAAGAGCT